CATAATTTTAGAGTGGAGTTGGGGGTCCAGGTTGCTTTCCGGTTTTCACGGCTTAGGGTTTAGGGTTTAGGGCTTAGGGTTTAGGCCCTAAGCCCTAAACCCTAAACCCTAGACCTTTAGGGTTTAGGGTTTAGGGTTTAGAGTCTAGGGTTTAGGGTTTAGGGTTTAGGGCTTAACATAATCAGGAAAGCTCTATACCGCACTCGGCCGACCCTACGAATGTTTTGACATCCTCATGCAACCCTTACCCAGAGGCTCCATGTAGACTAAGATTATGGAATTAGGCCCCAAAGGACCATCCCTACTGTGGCTGTTAAGGGCCTAGTTCCATAATAGTAGTATAGGTGGATCCTCTGAATTATCGGACCTAAGCCCTAAACCCTAAGAACCTATAAAACCTTTGGAGAGCCGTTAAGCCGAACTTTGGCACCCGCAACCCTTAGAAGGCAGAAGCCCTAAGCCCCAAACCCTACCTTCAACTACCAGAGCCTACTTTATTGTAGGTTCTTATTATAAACCCCAATTATAGAATCTATGGGACCCTACAAGGAACATGCTTTTTGGTTATTTAAGCCGCAAACCACAAACCGTAAACCCTGCAACCCCTAAACCAGTTAAACCCCTGAGCCCTTAACCCTCGGACCCCCAAACCCTTAAACCCTCAACCCTTAAACCTGTGAACCCTTAAACCCTTATACATCCCTTAGAGGAAACCCTAAGCCCTTAACCCTAAACCTCCTTAAACCCTAAACCCTAAACCCCTCGTCCTAAAGCTTATAGCGGTAGTTCTCAAAAATAGGGTCCCTTTTTAAGTCCCCAAAATAGTACGGCACCCTTAAAATAATGACCCTAAAAAAGACCCTAATTTAGGCAACTACCCATAAGGAGCCTGGAGCTCGGATGCTTTCTCCATTCGCTCGAGGACCGCTGCAGCTGCATCGCTGTTGAGGACCTGCCTTTGGGGGATTAGGGTTTTCCCTGAGGGTTTAGGGTTTAGGGTTGAGGATCCAAAGGACCCAAGAAGAAGAGGTTCTATAAGGGTCCCAATAAGGGATCTATCGGGATGTGTAGGGGTTTCTAAAGAGGCTTTTAAGGGCCCCAAGGACCCAATAAGGTAGATTGTTTCCGGATAGTAGTTATTTAGGTTATATTTGAGAGAGTATACGTGTATTAGGTACTTGGTTTTTGCTGAATCATATTTAATAGGCCATGAAGGAACTACCCTGAACCCTAAGCCCTAGAGGAACTGGGATCCACGAAAACCTAAGAATAAACAGGGCTCCCTTTTTTGGTGCCGGGTAGTTGTATGAGTATTCTAAGATCACAAAATGGAAAAAGGGCCCACCTGGAAACCTACTATTGATGATATAAATCCTGCATTACCTTGAGGACCCTAAACTATGGGAGTTATGGCTCTGGTATATTCCTTATGATATGGGCAATTCAGGATTTATATCATCAACCGTAGGAAGGAAGTAAACCCTGGCCCTAACCCGCGACCCCAAAGACCTCGTCATAACGGCTAAAGCAACCAGTGAGGGATATACCAAAACCCTAAACCCTAAACCCCAAAACCCTACATCTTAAATGGCAAACCCAAAGCCCAAAACCCTACATCCTGAATCCCTAAACCCTAAACCCTAAACCCTACATCCTAAATCCCTAAACCCTAAACCCTGGCTCTAAGCCTCCAGTCTCAACTCTGAAAAGGCTTCTGCCTCTAAACCCAGACAGCCTACCTAGACCTGTGCTATAGGGGCCTTTTCAGGGTTCCTTAAAGGCTTCTTCTATAGGGGTTTAGGGTTTATGGGCCTTAATAATATGGATAGGATTTTGGGGCCCATTATACTATAATATAATGGGAACCCCCCCAAAATAGTAGTATTGGTAACTATTTAGGCCCCTATATTAAACGCAGCACCTTGTTTTTTTTATGCATGGTCTCTTATAATTCCTGCGTCGTAGGAGTTTTAGGGTTGCGGGCCCTCAATGTAGCATCTTCTTTGGCTACCTCAATAATATACGGGATTCCGAAAAATAGGGGACCCTACTATAGTACCCTAAATAGTAGGATCCTTATCTTTAAGGACCCCAAAATGAGGTACCCTAGCTTTCGGAAACTCCAACATAGGAACGTTGGCATACCAAACTATTCAACACATTGTACTACATCTTGCACTCTAGTCACCCTCAACCCTAAACCCTAAACCCTAAACCCTAAACCCTAAACCCTAAACCCTAAACCCTAAACCCTAAACCCCCTGTATGGTCCGAGGACTCAAAGCCCAGCTGCATTGTCGAACGGACCATGAGCGCGGTGATGAGGCGCAAGGCAGCGAAGACGATGGCGACGACATAAATCAAGCACCTGAAAACCACACCCTAGGGTTTAGGGTTTAGGGTTTAGGGTTTAGGGCCCAACACCTCAAACCTTACTTGAGATCACAGGCTGCTGTGGTTAAGGAACAAAAGACAAAGTGGACACCCACCCCTAAACCCGGAACCCACCCACACAGACACACACACACACACACAGACATCGGCCATGCTTGCAGTCGGGGTGCGGAACTGCAAAGAAGACGCTGACATCGTCCACCAGGGGTCGGACGAGGACGGGCCAACCGCCGCTGAACCTTGCCATCGGTTTAGGGACATGGGGCTCTGGGCTTCGAGGGTTTAGGGTTTGGTTTAGGGTTTGGTTTAGAACTTCGAGGGTTTAGGGTTTCCGGGGTTTTGGGTTTCAGAACCACTCCTGAAAGTTTTATGTTGAGGTGGGGCTTAGCTTTGACACAATTATGTTTTGGAGTTGGGCTTCGGAACTGTCTGACTACTCAGCTCGCTAAATCTTCAAGTTAATGTCTACACTCGAACTCTACAGCATTGACCCGTCACCCAAATCCGTTTGCGGAACACACGTTCGAAAATTTGTCCAAAGCCAGCCAAGGGTTGAATCCCGGACACCAGGCTATGGGAAAAAAAGCTCGACTTTCTCAACCTAGCGCTACAGGAATGCCACTTTCTCGCATTTGCTTAAGGTGCCTGTGCTTGGCAGCTTACCCTGATGGTCCAAACGACCCAATATTAAGGTACTTTAAAGGTTTTCGGTTTGGGGTTTAGTAAGTTTAGTATCTAAGTTAATATTTGGGAGAGCATATGATTATTAGGTACTTGGACCCTTAGGGTTGGGGTTTAGGACTCCTTCCCTCAAAGAGGTTTCAAAACATGACAAGTACTATATTTGCTCCTCCTCCTCCTGCTCCTGCTGCTGCTGCGGCTGCTGCAACAATACAGACAAGAGCAATGATAAGAACAAGAATAAGCACAAGCACAAGCACAAGCACAAGCACCAGCACCAGCAGCAGCACAACAACAACCACAACCACAACCACGACCGCAACCACGTCCATTACCGCAACAGAGACGATGCACCACGACGACGACGCCGACGATGACGACGACAACGACGACTACTGCTTCATTGCGCTATACTCATCCCTGAGGGTCCATGCACCCAAATAGATATACTTTGGCCTTAAAGCAGTGCCTATATAAGTACTTTGGGACCAATCTATATACTACTTGGCTACATGGACCCTCAGGGATATACATTGGCCCCAAAGTATTTATATAGGGACTACTTTAAGGCCAAAGTACATCTACTTGGGTACATGGACCCTCAGGGTCATTGCCAAGGAACGTGATTTCGAACATGGTGTACATGGCACGACTGAAGCTGCCGTACCGGATCAGAAGCCACTCCTTTGGAACAGGGCTTCAGCACTTACCTATAGTCTTCACTGTAGTTCCTACCTTATCGGATCCTAAATATATAACTATTCTATCTTCAAAACTCTTAACTCCTATATTTCAAAGATCCAGAAGTTTTAAGGCAGACGTTCGCACCGTCTTCGAACCCCAAAAAGGAACTACAACCAAGACTATAGGTAAACCCTACAACCTAAACCTTAAAACTCCTAAATCCTATATGTGAGCCCCTATCTTTGGCTTTTGCGGAGTCAAGGGTTTATCTTAAATGCAGGGTCTACAAGTTCTCCTGAGCTCGGTCATGAGGGCTGTAGAGCTTTTAAGGCTTAGGGCCTAAACCCTACCTGTGGATCCAGCAACCTACCACTTTAGGGGTCATATCCTATAAATCCTATGACCCCTACACCCTAGACCCTACGTGAACCCTAAAGTTCTACCCTATAAACCCCATACTCACAGGGTCATAAGCTACTCTAAACCCTAAACCCTAAACCCTAAACCCTAAACCCTAAACCCTAAACCCTAAACCCTAAACCCTAAGCTACTCTTTTGTAGGGTTTCGGGCTACAAGTAAACCCTGAAGGGCCAGGACTCCGGGGCTACTCTGGACTTGGGCTTATTCTTCAAGGGTGTAGGGTTGAGGGTTTAGGGTCTATTTTGCTAGGGTTTAGGGTATAGGGTTTATTTTAGGGTTTAGGGTTTGTTTTGTTAGGGTTTTGGCTTTTAGGGTTTAGGGTCCTGGGTCTAAGTTGTTCGGGTTTAGGGTTTATGGTGTGGGCTGATTTGCGAGGTTCAGGATTTGGGGGTTTAGAGTTCAGGATTTTACCCTAAGGCTCGAAGAGACTCGACTCATATACGAAGGCTTTTGGGCCCAAAGACCAAGACACGTAAGGCTTGTGTGCAGGATGTTACCGGAAGGCTCTAAGAGACTCGTAGGTGAAGGCTTTTGGGTTATAACTCCTAAACCCTAAACCCAAAGACCAAGCTAAGTAGGACTTTTGTGCGATGTTGCCCTGAGGGTCCATGTGCCCAAGTAGTAGATACATTGGTCCCAAAGTACTTATATAGGGACTACTTTAAGGCCAAAGTATATCTATTTGGGTACATGGACCCTTAAACCTTAAACCCTTATGGTACCCTTATAGAACCCTTAAAGGACCCCTTTAAAGGAACCCATATTTGGGTACGTGGACCCTTAGGGGTTGTGCTTCAGGGCCTCAGTGTCAGGGTCAGGAGACTCAGGGCTTGAAGAATCGCAGGTTTTGGTTTAGGTAGGGTTTAGGGTTTAGGGTTTAGGGTTTAGGGTTTAGGGTTTAGGGTTTAGGGTTTAGGGTTTAGGGATGCCAATTTCAGGGTCTGTATAATTTGGACTCGGTCTTTGGGTAGATACCGCACTATACTTCTCCCCCTAAACTGTAAAACTCTAAACCTCTGAACCCTAAAAAATAAACCCCTGAGCCCTACACCCTGTAGGGGCTATAAGAAGGTTTTGGGTGCCAACTATTCCGAGCCCCTATGTCAGAGTCCTGAGGCTCATGATGCATGAGTTGTGGGTTTAGGGCTTAGGATTTAGGGTTTAGGGTTTAGGATGTAAGGTTTAGGGTTTAGGGTTATGGTGCCTGAGTTGTGGATTAGGCTCGTAAGGTTCGACGGGTCTGGGTCTGGTGGAGTATCTGCGCCCTACCTTTGGCCTTTTAGTCGTGGATTTATTGTAATGTACTGGCTAAAATATATTATATGGGCACCTGGACCCTTAGAGCAAGGCCCCCAACTCAATGGCCCAAGCCTGAAAGCAGATTCCTAGATTCCTCAACTCACAGCCCTTAAAATCTAAGCCCTAAGCCCCAAACCCCCAGAATCCTAAACCCTACCCCTAAACCCTAAACCCTAAACCTTACACCCTAAACCCTAAACCCTAAACCCTAAATCCTAAATCCTGAACCCTAAACCCTAAACCTTACACCATCAGCTGTAAGATCAAAGGGGAATAAGTTGCGGCACCTTGGTTTCTAGGTCGAGGCTGGTATGAGGGTCGACCTCAGCATTCATTGTATGGTCTAAGGCTTAGGGTTTAGGGTTTAGGGTTTAGGACCTTTCGAAGGGTTTGCAGGTTGTGTGATTTCGGGTTTAGGGCCAGGGTTTAAGAGTGGTCGGGCTTCTAGAGACTCTAGTGCGTGCGATCTAGTGAAACCTCGGTCGACGATATAAATCCTGCATTTCCCAGAACAAGGAATATGCCATAATCCCCATAGTTTAGGGTCCTTAATGCTGGATTTATATCATCAACAGCAGGGAATTTACTCCTCATCTTCTTGTTTCATTGATTACTGGATCGAAATCCAACGAGAAAAGAGGGTAGGCATGCTAACGCATGAGAATCCCAAACGTTGACGTAACTGTTGACTATTTAGAACTAAGGTTTCAACATTTTGCCACGCTGGAGGAGCCTTTTTGCTGTTAGAGTCGGGTGATGGTCCCACTGCAGCCAAGAATTAAACCCTGAACCATACCGATAGGCTCCATTGTAGTTCCTTCTGGGGGTTACTTTATGGGATCCTAAATATAAACCACAAAAAGGAACTACAATGGAGCCCATGGGTAAGTCCTAAACCCTGAACCGCTTGGCGTTTCAAGGCTTTGGGCTTCTGTGTGAAGGGCATGGGGATGAAGGTCTTACGGTTGATGATATAAATCCTGCATTACCCGTAATAAGGAATCTAGCACAGTTCCCAGAGTGTAGGGCCCTTAAGGTAATGCAGGATTTATGTCATCAACAGTAATTTACAAGCATCCTTGGAGAGGCCCAGACACTGAATCTTCAACACTATGACCCTCTGGGCCCAAGTACCAATTTTAGGGTTTAGGGTCTAGGGTTTAGGGTATACTCTCCCAGCTATTAATAACTTGCAAAACTACTGCCCTAAACCCAATTAAGTGCCTAATTATTGAATCCCTTGGACCCTCAGGGTGAGGGCTGCTTTTTTTGAACTGAATGTATGGCCCAGGGCCCAGTACCAGTTAATTAGGGTTCAAATTTAAGGGTTCGGGTTTAGCGTTAGTGCGCGTTTATGAAGGAATATACCCTTAAACCATAATCATACGAAGCCCTCTGTCCTCTCAGGGGTATACTATATTCCTTAATGACGGGGAATAGGACTTTGGATCAACGAGGCTCATCGGTTCAGCGTTGAGGATTCAGGGTCTGGCGGTGTACGAGAGGTCAAGAGCGTGCAGGGGACAGGGGCTAAGCTCCAGCAACCGACAAACAGCGACTAATTGCTGAAACCCTAAACCCTAAACCCCACAAGTTAGTTGCACAAGTGTTGACTTTGGTTTAGGGTTTAGGGTTTAGGGATGTTGGAATCAAGCCTAAACCCTTGTTTTCCTGTTTGCGGTTGATGTTCTGCTTGCCGAGAACTTTGTTGCACCCGATCTCACTAGGACAATGCCTGAAGCTAACTTCCTGGAACTGGTCCAACACCATGGCTTCAAACATCAAACCCCAAGCCTAGTATAGGGGCCTTAAGAAATTAGAATATGGCTTTGGGGCCTACTATACTATAGTTATCAGAAGGAACCTTCCGAAGGCCCCCCTGAGCCCTAAACCCCGAACCCTAAACCCTAAACTCCGAACCCTATAACAACCTTTAAAGGCCCCTACATGACAACGAGAGGGCCCATTATGCCATAATTATAAGAAGGAACCCCCAAAACAATACACCAGGTACCCTAAACCCCTAAACCCCTAAGCCCCTAAACCCCTAACCCCTAAACCCCTAAACCCTAAACCCCTAAACCCCTAAACCCGAAACCCTAAAGGCCCCTACATTACAACGATACAAAGCCGACTCGGAAGCCTTGGAACCCTCCGAAGTTCATCAAAGTTGGGTTAGGGCCTTCAGGGCTCAGGGGTTAAGGGTTTAGGGCTTTGGGGTTTAGGGGCTTTAGGGGTTTAGGGTTTAGGGGGTTCAGGGCTCAGGCTTTAGGATTAATGTAGGGGCCTGGATAATTGGAATAGGGTTTTGGGCTCCTTTTATATTTAGGCTTCTGTATTAGGGTTCAGGCTTTAGGATCAGGGTTCAGGCTTTAGGGTTAGGGTTCAGGCTTTAGGATTAGGGTTAAGGCTTTAGGATTAGGGTTCATGCTTCAGGATTAGGGTTCAACCTTTATTTAGGATCGGGGTTCAAGGCTTTGGGTTCAGGGTTCTCGGCCTCAACGTCTCAGAGAAGCGACAACACCGAATCATGAACAAGCCACAATCAGCGGCACGCAGGACTCGCAAAGAACCAGCGCTGCAATCATCATGCAGACCAGCCTTGTCTCTATATCTTTACATTAGACGACTTGCTGCAGGGGTGCTGAGAAGGCTTCTTGTGACTCCTGCAAGGTCATAAGGATTTTTGCTCAGGTCCTTGGGCCGACAGACCATGTTGAGGCGACAAGAACGGGAGAACAGCAGAGTTCAAATATCATCAAACGAAGAAGCCGATTGAAAGACTTCAGTGAAGCGCTGGCACTGCTACAACCATCGACTGCCCCTGCTTCACATGCCATCCGTCAGAAGCCACAATGTAGATGCAGAACGAGCGAAAAGTTGCATGTAGCTAACTATGAAGAACGAACAGTCAATGCTTCAACTAGGTTCTACATCTCGAAACCTTGTTGCTTGACTGTCTTGAAGTTGACCAGCAACATGGTAAGGATCCCATCGTACGGGAATTCGGTGTCTATATCAGTCATGGTTTTCATGAGTTCACAACGGCCGAGAAGCCTAAACCCCAAACCCGATAAGGGCCAAGGGCCCTAAACCCTAAACCCTCCTGCGGGTCCTTATGACAAAGGGCCACTCCCTTCTCCAATAACCGGGCCCCAACAAGCTCAAACTTTCTAAGCTAAACCAAAATGAGGCCAAAAAACTTAAAGTTCTCTTATTGGCTATCTAAGGCCAAGAAACAACAAGACCATAGACCAGAAAAGCGAGGTCAAGCTCGCGACGAAGGTCTCCACCATGCCTTGACTTCACGCAATTGGCTTGTTTAAGGTTTAGTGTTTAGGGTTGAGGGTTTGGGGTGGCTTAGAGTTGAGGGTTGAGGGGTGAGGGGTTGAGGGTTTAGGGGTGCCAACCTTAACCTCACCAAAACAAAAAGGGCACTAATGCAAACACAAAGATGCTGCGAAGTTGGGAAAACAGCTGCATCACTCGAACGAGGCGCATGGTCTTCGCGATCTGAGGGCCAATCTCACGCTAGTTGCGGGCGGGACGAGCCGTTCATGGCTGGTCAGGTTCTATGGGATATATCATATATGCATTGTTCTCTTTCATGTAAGACGTAACGACGACTAGGAGGGTTCCTTACTATACACATTAAAGTATAGTGGGCCCCGAAACCCTATTCTAATGATTAAGGCCCAAAAATTGAACCATAAAGCTTTAAACCCCGAAACCCTAAGACCCTAAAGCCCTAAACCCTAAATTCCCGGGCCTCGGCCTTGGCGTTGGTGCTGAGTATGACTGCCAAGGTTTGAGGGGCTCTAGGTCGCTAGTGTGCGGTCTTTGGGGTTTGGGGTTTAGGGTTTAGGGGTTTAGGGTTTAGGGCTACTGTGCGGTTTAGGGTTTTAGGCTGCCTTTCCCCTTGAAAGGGCCTTTATATCAGGATCCCATCCTTGCCACCATTTTGTCTTGTACCCCCGGTTGGCAACCTCGCGGTCGGCAACATTCCGCTCGTGAGCCTCCAGCCTTTCCGGTGCTTGGAATCGCGCTTTCGCGCTGGAAAGACGCGGCAACTTCAAAGACCCGTGGGTGGTTGTCAAAATCATGGTCTCTTTTTGGGTCCCCATTATAATACGGCACCTATTATTTAGGGTAGCCAAAAAGGGACCCTAACTTTGACAACTACCCCTGTAGCTCTCAGCAGCGTGCTTCGCGCTCTCGCAGCTGCCAAGCATGCCTCAGGCAAAGGTCCCGGCACCATGCCGTGAAATGCTCGACTCCAGGCCCAAGTGCAGCACGAGCCTTTGCCCAGAAGGGCCGTTATACTAGGATCCCGATTATAAGCCCGTTTAAGGTAGGGGATCGTCCTAACGGACCATGTGACCCCTACAGTCCCAAAGGGTCCTAAGTGCACATCTAGAATAGGGTTTAGGGTTCAGGGCTTAGGGTCTAGGGATGTACCTACAGTTCCGAAGGGGCCCAAGTACCTATCGTAGAAGCTAGGGTTTAGGGTTTAGGGTTTAGGGTTTAGGGGTTTAGGGGTTTAGGGTTTAGGGTTTAGGGTTTAGGGTTTAGGGTTTAGAAAGTTGGAACATGGGTTTAGGAGGATTCGTGC